TTCCCAGTTATAAGTAAATCATCAATATAAAATATGACGACTTCCATGTCACCGAAGATTTGGACCATGATCTGTTGGAAGATTGCAGATGAGGTCTTGAGCCCAAAAGGAAGTCTAGTAAATTGGTAATATCTCTTGTGCGTAGATATAGTTAAAATATTTCTGCAACTTTTATCAATCGGGACCTGTAAAAAAACATTTTTAAACTCAATCTTAGTAAATTTCTTTCCTTCTGAAAGTTTAGCTATTAGATCATTGATTCGTGGTAGAGTTGCGTATAACATCTCACCATAAGAAAATATGGAAGAGAAAAATTTTTTAAAAAAAAAATTTAAAAAAATGCATTACATAGTGGCGAATTTTTTTTGCCATTCTTCCTCAACCGGGGCAACATGAAGAAAAGTAAAACTATTATTTTTTTTAAATCTGTTTTATTTCTCTTTTTTGTAACATATATATATATCTTTTTACAAAAATGATATTTGAATAAATATAAAAAGGTTAACTTAAAAGTAAAACTAAAATGAAAATATAATTTGAAAGTAAAACTAAAATAAAGATATAATACGAATAATACAGTTACGATTTATAAAACTAAAAATAAATAATAGAATACGAATAAACACATTATAATTTATATTATTCAACAATTTTAACATATATCATTAACAAATTATTATGGTGAGGGTTATTTTTGGATTTACATATAGAATTTATATTAAAATTTTTACGAAAGTTTCATTATTTTTTTAAATAAAATAAAACTTTATTTATAAATAAAAGAATTATAGGGGAAACCAATATGGCGTGTTACGAGCCTATTTAGATTCAACCACGCTTCAAAATGCATTTTTAATGAATTAATCATCCTTCAGTCTATGCATGAATGTATTATATAATATGGTGACCTATCATCTTATCTTAAAAAATAATGAAAACCACATTATCACTAAAAAAAGAGTTTTGTATTGAAGATTCCAAAAATATGTCTATCGTTTATTATATTGATCCGTCATTCATTTTCATTTCTTTATTAAAAACCGGGTTGGCCGGTTCGTGAAATGAGCGAAAGTGTATTTGACCGGTTAATTATGGTCAATTACTGTAAACTCGAGGGCGATTTAAATTTTCCGATATTACTAAAAAAAAAATTGATCCGATGTCATTTGGAATTCTTTAAATTGAGAATTACTATCTATCCGTGAACGAATGCCATTAAAAAATAAGTAGATAATTCCTATATAAATAAAAACCCCAACTAATTCTCTCAAATGATATATGCCTTTTTCTTTTTCTTTTTTGAATCTCCAAAAATTTGATAAGCCGATTCAAAATATGGGCAATATTTATGTAGCTTGAATTTGAATCGTTAGATATTTTAAACCATTAGTTCCAAATAGTTTAATAAAAAAAAATGATATCAATTGAAATAATTGTATTTCCGGTCAAATAAATTGTGATGGACAAAAGTTATTAATTATTTAATCATATATATAGTAAATACCTTCAAAATAACAATTAGACCTACCATCTATTCATCCCACTAAAATCATTATCTATTAGGCCTATTCAAAAATAATTCGAATATTCGATTTGATTCGAATAATTACGAATACGATCAATAAATTATTTGTTTTATCTGAATACGAATAATCATTTATTCGATTCGAATAAAACGAATTATTCGAATAAAACGAATTATTCGTAATATTTAATAAATTGTTTTTTGTCATTTCTATTTGTTGACCTGCCAATCGGACAGGTGATGGGTTTGTGTTTATTAAAATTCTAGCACAAATTTAAAATTTTCTGAGGTGAAAATTTAAATTCTTATTTGCCATATATTTAAATTCTTATTTGCCACATTTTTTGAATCTCACGAAAAGTTTATTTTTTGAATCTCATAATAAATTATATTAAAAATTACACAAACCAGAGGTACATAAAAATATATTACATTTCTACAATAATTATTGTTAGCTAGCCTATTTATGTTAGAGGAGAATGCTTCTGATGAAATTATGCTTGATGTTGAAAATGAGAAAATTTCCTCACAAAAGAGAGCAATCATATGGGATCAATATCAAATCCTTAAAGATAGTGAAAAGGCTGCTTGCAATCATTGCAAGAGTATTATAAAATGTAAATGCAAAACAACATCTCCTCTTATTAATCATTATAATAGGTTTCATTCACACCTTAGTAAAAAAAATAATAAAATTGACATTTTTTAAAGACTACACCAAATTCTTCAAAAAAAAATTAATTTTAAGAATAATTTATTAAAATTATTTATAAATCATAATATTCCTTTTATTTATTTTATTAAAAAAATTAATTCGAATTATTCGAAATATTCGAATAATTTGAATCGAATACAAATAGTAGATTTTATTATTCGTACGAATTCAAATAGTAAATTATTCGATTCGTTTAAAGAATCGAATATGAATAATGCACTATTCGATTCGAATTCGTTTTTGAATAGGCCTATTATCTAGTGTTGTTAAACGGCTCGTTTTGAACCGTTTTTTAAAAACAACGGCTAACTCAATATTTTAGCCAGAAAAATATTGCCTAAGCCTCGAGATTTCTCTAATAGATGTCCAAAACCTTTGTTTCCTCTGCAAACAAAATCTTCTAGCTTGCGTGATAGTATTCTGGATGGAATATTGAGTTAGCCGTTTTTAAAATTCGGCTTAAGAGCCGTTTAACAACACTACTATTATCTATAGAACCTACTTATTTTAACGTAGATATTTAAAGATTAAAACCAGGCCTTCCCCCTGCCCATAAAGTGTTATTAAATATATGTCCTTCTCTGGAGACTTTTTCTTTCTCCAACCCTTTTTAATCCCATCCTATAGACGTTTAAATGACAGCTTTTGAACCGTTTATGCGGACAGGTATGTGCTGCCTGGCCACTAATGAGTAAATGGCTCTCAATCCCCTTGAACTTAATATCCTATTTAATGGAAATGAGTGTTACCTAGTTTAGAACTCTAATATATCTATTCTATTAGAGGATAATTTTTACCACGTATTCAATTATATGTGATATAATTGTGTATTTCTACATTATTTATATATATATATGGACAATAAAAGTAAAAGCAAGCGGCGTTCTTGATACTCTAATATATGTAACTTTTATAATACCCAATGTTAATCAAGTAAAGTTTAAATGTAGATTCGTAGATTTTGTATTTAGTTTTATATAATATCTTATGACAATACATACATGTCGAACATCAATATGATGTCAATCATTTTGAAACTATTGTGATTCGAAGGGCCGCGAGGTTTATCGAGCAGTTTGTTGGTTTACAAAATAAAACTTGGTGAGTTGATTTAAACATGAGCAAATTATATATATATATATATATTTGTGTCGTATGGTGATATGGAGGGATTCAGAATCTCTTGATTTGAAATCGTTTAATAAGGGCGATTTTTAGATTTTGAAAATCTGATTTTACAGGAATCGTATTTTGGCATGTGTTAGAGTACCCAACCTGTAAATTTCGAAGAATTTTGCCACGAACTTTAGAATGGATTCTTCATCATAAATTGAAAAATACCAAAATATCTACGCCTGAAATTGGCTGAAATTTATAGGGTAAATACTCTACACATGCTACAAATAGAATACATTTCTTGTTAATTAATTGAGAGATTACGAATCCCCGAACATATACATAATTATTTAGATGTACATATATTATGAGAATTGTGTAAATATGCATATTACAATGTCTTAAGAACTAAAATGTGTTTTAATTACTCCCTATTCTTCCTAATTTACTCTAAAATGGATAAGACTCGGGGAAATAAAAACTCAGAATTGTTCACAAAAATTTTTTTAGGCTTCCCGCTAGATTCAGGACGAGATGTAATTCTGGAACTTGCCCCAAGAAGTCGATTTATAATTCCAGACTAGAGGTGGAGCTTTAAATCAAGCTAGTAAGATTTTGTAATCTGTAGTTTATACTGGTCAAGGATAAAGATAACATATGTTGACCTTTTAGAGGTGGTTTGAATAATGACGTCATTATGCTTAGAGATAGAAGGATATTTACGGTAGAACAATATACAACTTATTTTTATTATTTTGAAAAAATTTAACAAAAATATATATTATTTAAGATTACCTTACTAACTCAATATTCCCCTTTGATCTACCACACCCTCTCCCTATTACAACGAAAATATTGGGTCATACTACCCCGCCCTCTTATAGAAGGTCCTTCTGGTAGATAATGAAATTAAACTCTTAATAAAAAAAAAAAATTTTCCTTCTCAAGCTAGTGTCATAGATACAAGAAGTATATTAAATTTTTCGATCTTCGGCCCCCCCCATATTTTTTTGGGCGGAAGTTAAAAAAAAAATTGTGTCTTGGATCATTTGCCTGCTGATGCCTTATCCGAAATTGCAAAATGTTAATGTGTGACTAATAATGAAATTAAGAGAATATTTTCCCGAATCATTTAAACGACAAAAAAAATAATAAATAGCTTAAAAACTTTTTAAATAATGTAAAAAATTCTTTTTATATAAAGCTTATTAACAAATTGTTTGAAAAAAAATATTTATTATAAATTTTATCAAATTCCTCAATTGACATCATAATATACCTACCTCATTCTCATTTTAGAATTTTCATAATTTATTAGATCGTATTGTTTTTTTTTTATAAATTTCAGTTTTTTTAAAATAAAACAATGTAATTTTGCGTGCAATAAAACACCGATTTATTTTTGTGCAAAAAAAACTTTTAAAAAAAATTTCTCCTAATTATATATTTATTATAATTAAAAATTTTAATTATTCCCCCCCCCCCCTTATACTAATATTTCCAAGATTTGAAAGAAAAATAAATTACCTTATAATTTTAGTTTAAGCTGGTAATAATTTAATCAAAAAACTATTATATATAAACTTGGAATTTCAAAAAAAAAAAAAATCAAATTCGTTAATTATTTTTTAATATAATATTTATGTATATTTTTTTTTAAAAATATATTCCGACACTAAATCATATGGCAATTCTTTGTCTCATATTTAGCGCATTTGTACTTTTCACTAATTTGTATTCTAAGATAGTGGGCACTGAACCGTTAGATATTTCTAAGATAAAGTTGATTTATTCATTTAACAATAGTAATAAAAAATCAAAAAAAAATCGATGTTTTTATTTATAATATCTTGCAAATTAAAAATATATTTTCCATGTTTTAAATCAATAACATATATATTACCTAGACTTGACGATTCATTCATTGAAAGTGTACATCAAATGCAAATCAGCTGGAGACGCCATCTTGGTTACACTAATTTTAAACGAGAGCCTAATTTATTCCTATATCTGACTCAAACTTTAATTAAAGAATTACCGGATCATCGAGACATAATAAGGAAGCAAGTTATCAATTCAATAGTAGTTTTTAACACGAGAATAATTACTACACGTGTTACCAAAATGGCGGGTTCAGCTGATTTGCTTTTTAACGACTCTTAAAAATGCATTCGTCAGTCTAGGTATTATATACGTCATTGGTTTTAATATTATGCTTCGTAGAATTTCTAAGAGCCTTTTTTTAAAAAATATATATATGTTCAATATGTTTTAAAAGCACGTTTTTTTCAATATTTCAAGATCGGATTTTTCCGGAAATGTGTGCCGCCATGTTTGGAATACCTAACCCTAATGGATTTCCAGATAATTTTTCAGTTGAACCTTTTTAAAATTTAATTATAATTTGTATTAAATTTTCCGTACATTTTTTTAAAAAAAATATAAATTATAAATGACTCAAAGGTTAAACAGCAAAATTGTCTGCAATTCGTAAGATAGGTATTCCAAACATGATTAGAATTCTATTTACGGTAAAATCGGATCTTTAAATTCAAAAAATTAAACTCGCTCAAAAAATGATTTTAAAGTTGAAAAAAATGGCCACATTGACGCTGAATATGAATATTTTTCCTTCGAGAATCGCTTTGTTCCGATCATTTCTTTTATTTTTATTTCATTTTTTTTCGTTACTTCGCTGTTTTTTTCGATTTTTTTAGATATTTTTTTTTGTTACATTTCAAAATATTTTATAAATTATATTAGAAACTAAATACATCATTTTATTAAATATTTAAAATAAGAGTTTGTTTAGTTTTCCATTTATTTATGTTCCCAAAATTGACAAAAGGCTAAAAGTTATTATTTTTAACTTTTTTTTTGGCCTTTTTTTTAGTGAATATAGATGTCAAAATTAATTTCTCATAAATTTGGGATTCGACAGATTTAACCTAGGAAGATTTTTTTTATTAAAATAATAACTCTATCTCTAATCTTAAGAAATATGTTAGTTCATCATAAATTATTGGTTTTTTAATAAATAATAAATTTATGATAATTTTTTTTTTTTTAAATTTTAAATAAGTTAATAATGCGGGTAAAAATGATGCAAAGGGATTTTATCCCTCTGAAGATTCGTGCAAAATTACGAGAAAATCTCCAGGAACTTCTAGTCAAGCGTTGCAGTTATCACCTCAAAATCCGATTATCTTGGAAGGAAGTCTAGCAAATAATAATTTTAAATCCAATAAATTTATATATATGTCGTAATTTTTAAAGGGATCATGACTGTCGGGGATCTTCGCGGGATTTAAAGAGATAACTAAAAAATTAGGGTTGATAATTAAGGAAGGATAATACGTGATTATCACGTTTTAATCGTGATAAAGAGGAATCTTATTTTAAAAGCGTTTTCCACGAGTTGCGTTGCGTTTTTAATTTTTAATTTTGTTTTTTTTTTTGGCCTTATGATATAAGATATGTCTAGTATAAGGGTATCATTCGATAGCTAATCAAAAGATTTATTTAACTGGAGGTCAATCTCTGCCCCAGTGATGATACCGTATAGTTCTTTATCCTTTAAAAAAATTGAAATTTTAAAGGGATCCCTTTAAATCCCGCGAAGATCCCGGATAGTCATAATCCCTTTAAAAATTACGACATATATACATCTAAAGAAAAACGATTTTTAGTGAGTGTTATAACCGTTTAATAGGCATAATTTTGATAATTTATGACATTAAAATATGTTTCGACTAAATATTGAATATTGAAAACTGATAGATTTCGAAAAAGATACCCCAGCCTTTTTGAGCCTTCGTGACTGTCAACTTTTAATGACCATCGAAAAGCCTACCACCATCGATATGAATATAAGTAATTTAATTTTAAATTAAAATAATTTTTTTTTAAAATTAATATCGTTTATGTTAATGAAATCTCGTTTTTAATATCATTAAAAAAAAATATATACCTTTATATTATCAAAATACCATTATACATTTATATTAGAGATTTGCATCGGGCCTAATTTTTCAAACCCGCCCCGGTCCAAAATTTTTTTAAAATAAAGTATTGCCGGCTCGGCCCTTAAAAAATTCATCTTTATAATTACTAAAAATAAAAGATATGTTATATGGCATCCAGTTTCTATAAATAAAGTTAGATATTTTTATTTTACATAAAAAAATTCAACATAAAATTAATAAATTTAAGATAAATTTTAAAAAAAATTTCAAGACCCGACCCGGCCCGGCCCGAACCCAATTCACCGGATTCGGGCCGGGTACGGGCCGAGCCAGATCTCTCATTTATAAGCACTTTTTTTAAAAAAAAAACATTTTTATCGTTAAGCTTTTTCGTGGAACGGTAAGTTGATATCCTTAAACGCTCTACGAGCTAAGAAGAATCCCAATCCACTATCATATCCGGGGGTGATAAAAATTACAAAAATAACGATATACAAGAATAAAGATATGCAGAATGTCAGTTTAAACAATTATCAAGAAAGTTCTGGTAAAGATTCAACCATTTTCACTGAGGGTTCTGGAGATTTTGGTCCAATAAACTCAGAAATATTTAACAACGCTATTATAAGCCAAGAAAAAAACAAAAATATACCAGCGGAAATTCCAGTAAATGAAGTTACTAATTCTTCCACGAGTCCCAATCCTATATGGCACGCCTTCGATATCAAGCATCATTTATCTAAAATGATAGACAATTTAAACGGATATTTTAAAGAGGATGAACTAAAAAACGATAATGATACCAGGAAAATTATCCAAAAAGTTGTCAATAAATTTGAAACGCAAAAGATTGTCTATGGTAAACCCTCGATTTCTAGAATTTTTGAAGCAGAGCCTGTTAGATTGATATCTCGACAAGTTTACTTTAACAGACAACAGAATGCGAATATGACTCGCTATGAGTTATCGATAGATGAAGTTTCTCTGAGATACGAATTCTCGCGAGAATATAGTTTAGCGACTGACAAACAAGCCGTTCTAGAATTAAATGTAAGCAATCATTATAAAATACTATATCTAAACATTGCGCTTGCGCTCATATATTAGCTAATTAGCCTATTCAAAGACGAATGCTAAGAATCGAAATAATCTTACTGATTCATATTTAGTTAGGTAAATAAAATTTAGTAATTATTATATAAAATAATTATTCATTACGAAAATGTATTCACATAATTCTTTTAATATTCCATCTCCAGTTTTAAACAGAAAAAAAGTTACTTATGATTAAAAAATTACACGTAATTAATCTAGTTATTACTTAAGTTTTAATCTAATCTATAAAAGGCAAAGAGTTTTGCATATCGTTAGGACATTTTTATTTTGACAGAAAATTAGTTCCAAACTCATGAAAGATCTTCACGAGTTTGTAAGTGATGTGCACCTTGTCACTTGTCAAATTGATGTACGTTATCGATATTGAATATAAATTATTCCCAATAATTTAAATATTCCATCAAGTTATTCATTTTATTAGAATCGAACGAAGTTTACTATTCGTATTCGTTACTATTCGATTTTAATTATTCGAAATGAACCGAATATTCTATTTGTTTTTGGAATAGGCTCATTTGCTAACATATCAAATTCATGATTAACATAAAAATTCAATATTTTTTGAAAATAAATTTTTAGGTCGGGAATAGTTTCGGAAACAAGATTATTATCACTTTAGCAAGGTCCTAAACTTTACGTAAATATGATAATAGTAAGTATACAAACACAACCCTAATTTTTAATAAAAAGAATATAATTTAAGTTTTTCGCGATTATTTGTATATATATATTGCTAATTTAATATGATGTTTTGTGAAATATTTTATAATTTCATTACCTACCCTAAATTGTCGCTTGTATTTATTATGATTCTTATTATTTTAAGTATTTTAATAGGTGTACTTTAAAATAAAAACAAGAAAAACGCAAGAAATGTCTATAGATGCAAATTATTGTATTATAAAATTGAGACTATGTAAATGTATATTAAAAGGAAAAGGATATAATTGAGAAAATATTATGCGATTTGATTTGTTATTTTCTTCTTTTTAACTTCAAAACTTATTTATTTTAGCATATAATTATCCTACTCGCTATTTAAAACTGAGTTTTTTTATAAAAAAAAAAATTAAAAATATTTAGATCAAAAATTTTTGTAGATTGTTATTTTAAAAATATAATTTATCATTTTATCAAAGATTTTTTTTCATGCATGAACATCTCAAAAATATTTAATTTTTCATAGATTTGTTTTACAAAACATTTTTACCCACTTAATGTTTAATTTAATAAAAAATCTGCTTTCTTTCAAAAAATTTTGTTTAAAAATGATTTGAATGATAGTTTCTAAGGCTTCGCCGTTACTATGATTGTTTTTTCCTAAGGGATTTAATCAGAAATTGCTTATTTTCTTATTATGCGGATTAAAATATGGATTAGATATGTTATAATATAAATAAGTAATTAAATGACTAAATTAAGTAAATTTCTTATATTAATTTTTTATTTTTTTCTTTTATTTTTGTTTGGTTATGTTTTCACGTTATATTTAATTAAAGATTTAGAATTTATATTTTAGCATTTAATTATAATTTTTTTTTTTTTAGGTTCCATCTTTTCTCTCTATGACAGTTTCCCCCAATTTGGCATTAAGGAACTATAAAAATTAATAATATAATCATTTCACGACCCAAGAAAATAATAAATAAGTGAATTTTTTTTCACTGTTAAGCATTTTAATGGATTGTCTTTTGGATACAATAGTACTGGGCACCAAAAAGATTAATATTTTGGTGATTTAAAAATTTAAATTAATTTATGAAATTTTAAATTTTTTTGAAAAAATTATGTGATAACAGAGTCAACTTAGCAGGATATTCAATGGATGCAACCCCCCTTCTCCCTACCCACCATCACTCCTTTAAAAAAAATTTTCACCATCTTTGACAGCGATAATTTTTTGCATTATTTAATTCCACCTTTTTTTTTTAAATAATAATGGTTAATAAATTTGAGAAGGATAAATTAAATTATTAATTTAACTAATAAATCCACTAGCAAAATATTGTGAATGTAGAAGAGTTATTTTTTTTTTTGAACATGAATTCAATCAAAAATCCCCACATTTTAAAGCCATTATTATTAGTATATTATTTAGGCATGAATATGAGCTTTACTGATAGAATGTCGTAGATATCATTGTATTAATAAGGTCTACAATAAAGGTATTAATTAACAGCAATATTCATTTTAGCCCTCTTTTATCTAAAAAAAAATTTGATAGAAAATTCACCAATAAATTTATCTTACCTCACCTCCCTTTAAATGCCTACCCCCTCCCTTCATAAAAAAAATCGGATGCAAACTGTTCCTACTTCCCATCGCTCGCGTATACGCTGTGTAATAGCGTAAAATGATGTTAGCAATATTTCACTATAGTCGTAACGATTCAAAAATAGAAATAGTTTCCCTGGAACTTAGGAAGGATAAACCCTTAGAAACTTATAAAGAGAAATGATACACTCAGTAATTAGATATTCATTCGTGTTTTTTTTTCCGCTCATGGAGTAAAGAAAATGAGTATAGGCCTCGATTTCAAAATATTTTCTGTCGGTTTTAATTTTATGTCCTACCCAATGACATATAATAATACCTTTGAAAGCGTCGTTGAATGCGAATCAGCTGGAGCCGCCATTTTGGTAAACCCATATAGTAATTATTCTCATGTTAAAAAAACTACTATTAAATTGATAACTTGCTTCCTTTATTATCTCGATGATCTGGCAAGTGTTTAATAAAGTTTGCGTCATACATAAGAATAAATTGGCCTCTCGTTTAAAAATATTAATAATGATATGGGTAATCAAAATCGTTTCCCCAGCTGTTTCTACTATGTACACTTTTAATGAATGCATCGTCAGTCTGGGTATTATTATATGTCATTGATCCTACCACAATGTGTCAGTGACCTTATGGATAATTTAGAAAAGATATTACAAAAAGCCAGGCCAATCTGATAAAGGTTTATTTATTAAATGTATCGCTCCATTAAATCTTATGATATATTTTTTGTATCTTTTGTGGATATTTCATTTTATCAATAGTCTTGTTAAAGGGCTCGATTTAAGCCCGAGTTTTTAAAACGGCTAACTCAATATTTTAGCTAGAAAAATATTTCTTAAGCCTCGATATATCTCTAATAGCTGTCCAAACCTTTCTGCCATGCCAAAATCTTCAGGTTTTCATAATACTTTTCCGGATAAAATAATGGTTTAGCCAAAAAATCGGCTTCAATAGAACCTTTTAACAACACTATTCATCATAATAAACCTCCTTATGCTTTACGATGTTAATAGGAATTGTAATCTCGATTTGCTTTGTTTTTTTTCTTCCTTCTTATGATTGTTAGGAAGGGAAGAGTATCGTAAGTTTGCAAAATTTTATCAAAATTATCAACAAAATCTCAGAATATATTTGGTCTATAATTGATTTTTAAAATTTTTACATAAATTATGATAATTTTTTATTGGCTCATAAACAGATTACTTTTTTAAAAAAGAATCCTTAATAAATTATATAGACCAATAAAATACTCTCAATTTTTTTATAATATTTATATCAACTTTGAAATATATTTTGTGGTAAAAATTCAAGTTTAAAAAAAAAACATTATCCAGATTTTGCTTTATTTAGAGGTAGGACCTATTTCTTTTTTAGAGAATTCAGCTCTATATAATCTATCACTGCTAAAATATTTTTTAGATGGTCAGCAGACGCATCATCCAGATACTATATGTTTATTTTTTAAGTTGGAAAATAGAGTTTTTAAGAATGAGTTAGGTTATTTGCCTAAGCTAAAGAAGAGAGGACCCAAAGGTTCTTTTTTTTATATATTCTCATCAGAGGGAATCGTATAATCTCCAAATTTGAAATAGGTTCCATGGCCATATAATTGTTCAATAAATTTTGCATACACTGGAAACAAAAAGGTTGAAGAATACTTTTCAAGGAAAAGGAATTATAAGCATTTTTAAAATCATGGTGATAGACTATGGCGAAGATGATCATTGATATAAGTACATAGAGATCGGGAATCCATTTTGCACCCCCCCCCCCACCCCTTACCAAGGCCTGATAGATATGCTTTGAACTTTTGAAGCATCGAGTTTGATGCGCCCAACAATTATTTTATAGCTCTTCTATAAAAAAGCTCAATTTCACTCGGTCGAACCCCACCCTCAGGCTTAGAGAGTGCAAATAGTCTTGGACCAAAAAAGGATTTGATTAACCTGGCTGGATAATCCTTTGTTCAATATATTTTTGCTAAGTATTAAACGATGAATTTATAAATATATCCTTAATAGAATTTTTGGGATTAATTGGAAATAATGGGTCAAAAACAGTAAATTACCCTTGCTGAGTTTTTATTAATGGATAGAACTATTTTTTTAAAAAACTCCTCTTTGTTTATTTCGAATGAATTAGGCAGGCAGGAGTGAGTAGATTCTTAGCAAAGCCTGAAGATTCATTACTTTTTTTAGTTCTTGTAAAAATAACACATACGGCTGTAATAACATAATTAGCACTTGAACGAACATAAAATTAAGTGAAGTAAAGAAAAATATTTTATAAGGCATTGTCAATTTTTTTTTGATGTTTTAAGAGATTTGGAAAGTAAAATTTAGGTATAGAATAAATATTTAAAAATAATATTTTTTTAAAATTAAATATAAATGAATTTTTTTATAAATAAATTAAAATTTTGCAGATAAATATATTATTTAATAATTCGTAAAAGGAACAAAATCCGGTAATAGGTAAATCATATACCAAACAGATGAAAGCAATAAGACATATTAATCTATCTGTTAATAGTGTTGTTTATTCAAATTTGTAAAATAATTAATTGAGTATTAATTTAGATGTTTTGTATATTGTGTTGTTTATTCAAATTTGTAAAATAATTTATTGAGTATTAATTTAAATGTTTTGTTACATATACCAGTATATATACCAGTCGATGATATACATATTATAATAATTATTATTTTATTTTTTAAAGTAGAAATAAATATTTATTTAAAAGAAAACACAACTTAAAATATACTTGTTTCTTTTACAATCAGTACTCTACCAAACGGATTAAAATTGTATAGAATTAAGCGCGATTCTATTTTCGAAATAAATCAATCACCCTTTAATTTTAAACTTAGCCATTATTGATAATCATTATTCACTTTATAGTTTAAACATTCATAGACACCCATTAAGTGCGAGACATTAGCATAAATAATTAGTGCTTCCAATAGTTTAGCTAAAGTCAACTTTAATGGTGATGATGTAATAAAGATATTACATATTTTTTCTAAACTAAATAAATAAAAAATGAAACATAAAAAATAACTAATCATAATTTATGAGTGGCGTGATCAGGCCAAGGATAGGAAAGATAAGAAATTTAGAGATGAAGATCATAAATAAATTTAATAACACCCTTCCTCCCCATCCCCACCTCTCCTCTTGAATAGATCCTGGCTACGCTACTGATGCTCGATAACAATTAAAAATTATTTAGTGCTAAAATATTAAATAATTTTTAAGCAAATTAAACCAAAATCTTGCGGCTTTCCTAATTCATTATGAAATTCTAGTTTACAAAATCATAATTGGTTTTCACCTGCCTGTCTCACATTATCTTAGCAGGACTTCGACCTGTGGCACTATGTTCGCTCAATATTAATAATACTTTTTGATTGGCAAAACAATTGAAATTCTCGTGATATCTTGGGAGGATTATCGGAAACATCTTTACCCCAAATCCGACAACCCATTCAACGTTCTAATTTTTTTGTGTTGGCAGTCGTAATTTTCTGATTAGTTCTTGAGCTTGTGGATCAAAAGTTGCAAGACTAGTCATAATGAGTGGTATAAAATGATAATGATCAGAAACCATGTATTTATCAGATTTTAATTTTTCTGCAGAAACTAAACTTTGTTTAAGTTTGATGGAGTTTAATTTTAATTAAGCCAAATTAATTTGTAAGATCATTTATCATTATGGCTTAAATTAAACTATGAAGAATATAAAATTAGACCCTTCTTGTTCATTAAGAGAATACTAGTAATTTTATTTAAAATCTAAATTTATATTACCTATATAAAACGTGACACGGAACACTTAAAAAAAATTTAATTAAAAAACATATATTAAAGGTAACCTAAACTAAAAAGTGTTACATATTTCTCAACACGCTGAACGTTTGGGCAAATTTTTGAAAGCTATAACGAGATATCTATTAAATGTAGCTTTAACAGCATTCAGTTTATCCATATATCTCTGAAAAATAGTTAGTGTACAAAATAATCAAGACATCTTTTAATATTATATTGAAACTAATTGTAATGTTATATAGTAATTAGGGATGATATGAATTAAACTTATTCCAATAAAAGAATATTTAAATTCACAAAACAATTTTTTAAGTCAATTTTAATAAATATATTTTTATTCATTATTAATCAGCACGGCGCCAAATATGATTTAAATTCTAAGATGTTTAAGATAACTAGATATATCTTTGATTATTCAAAAATGTTAAATTATATAATCAACCACATAAAGAGGACAACTCGATGTAACAAAATATTGTTACATTCATTTAATCATATGTATTAAAACTTTTAAAATTCTACTAAAATTGGAGTTTATTTATGTCTTCCTTATTTGGGAAATCTAAGTCGAAGGATCCTAAGGAGCAGGTATTATTATCTTCTGCTTACATTTATCTCATATATTTAAGATGAACTCTTGGACTTCAAAATTGAGATCAGAATCAAGGGTATTAGATAGGCAAATACGATGTAATACACATATATTGCTAAATTATTATTTGAAATAAATATTTATATAGTTACTCTAAAAAAACTATTAGCATATTTATTGAATCTATTTTTTTGTCCTATATTTTTTATTCCTATTTAAAAATATTCAATTTTTGTTATCAAAATAGTAAGAATTTATGAATAAATTGAACTCTTATGCAATGAAAATATAATATATCAAATATAGACTTATGCAAATTCAATCTTTTATAGTCTAGGTCAAGTCTGACTTGATATTTATCCTTTAGCATTTTTATGAGAATATAATCATTTAAATCTTCATTAATTACTCAATAATTTAAAAATATATTCTTGAGTTAATACTTAGTTTTTGATAATAGTAAAAATCACAAAATAAAACATTAAAAATTTTTCCAAAGCCATCCAAAGGGAACAAGATCGTACGGTTCACATGCTCAAGGAGACAGTAAAAAAAGCTGGGGATAACAGAAATTCCTGTTCAGTTTTGGCCAAAGAAATTGTTCGTTCTCGAAAAAGCATTGCGAGGTTACACAGTGCCAAAGCTGAAATCAACAGCATAATTATGGCAGTAAAAAACCAACAATCAGTAGGTAAACTAGTTGGAAGTGTTGACAAAAGCACCCAAATTATGAGGAGCCTTGGAAAATTGAACAAAGTTAAATAATTTTTGTTTTTATAATCCAATGATTAAGAATAAAAGAAATTTGCTAACTAGAATATTTACATGCTAATCTATCTATAAATTAAAAAAAACTTAAATTTCTTGTTTATCTAATTAATAAAAAAATTGAAAAGCTCATTGTATTTGTTTTTCTTTAATTAAAGATGCCCGAAATGATGGGGATCATGCGTGAAATGTCAAAAGAAATGTTGAAAAATGGAATAGTCGAGGAAATGATGGAGGATACATTTGAGAACATGGACCAAAGCTTGGGCATTGACCAAGATGATGAGGAAGTTCTAAAGGAAATAGATGGTGTTCTTTACGAAATCACCCAAGGTAATTTATCAAGAATTATCAAGAATTTTCTATACATAATATTCCCGGATTCACTAAATTTTGCTATTTATTTTTTTGGTAAGCGACCGAAAACGAGACAATGGGTCATGTTGTACATATCAATAATTTCAGGTCTTCATTAGCCTTCCTTAGGGCTTAATCTTATTACTTTCATTGAAGTGTATCTCTTCACTCAATCATCTTTTGTCCAACATGCCCAGATCACAGTTTATATTTTCTTAACACCAATCATGGCCTCTACTCTAACCCGTTCCCTTTATTGTTTGTTTTTTCTCTTTCTCCACGATACCCCACACATGCATCTGACTTTTCCCGTCTCCGTTCTTTTAATTTAGCTTCATTTGCTGCTTTCATTGTTTACTTTTTGCCACCATAGACCATGCAAATTCTCGCAAAGCTACAATAAGATTTTTTTTAAACTTCAGATATATATTTTTATTGCGATGACATCTCTCTGAATCTCTTTCATGTATATCTGACACTTATAACAGCAGGGGGATCAATACCTCCATCTGGGTTCAGCCTGTCATTCAAATTAAAAAAAAATTCCCTTTTTCCAAAGTAATGCCATTTCCGTTATGAGTGATTCCATGACAAATCGACCAGTGATTTGGAGACCATTTTGAAATGAATGAAACTTTGCGTGAAGGTTAAGTGGATTGTATGCTTTATCCAAATCAAAATTTTAATGCTCTAGCTCAAATATATCTCGAGTTATGGATTCAAAGTTTGATGAGAACCTTTTAAAGAATATTAAATTTAAAAAATATTTGGTCTATAGTGACAATATCATGTAGCCCTTGAAATTCTCTTTAAAAAAATGCATATTTTAAAAAACATTGTATTTTCGGTAAAACAAAAAATATTTTGAAAGGTTTTGTTTGGAGGCGCATTCCATTTCTTAATTGGTGTTGGAAGCAGTAGGATAATCGTTTCCATACTAGGTAAACCAAGTAGTTAGCGTTTGTGGTTGATTTCGCCCACAGGTCAAGCACTATGTTCTGGAGGGCGTAGGGAGAAAGTCCCGCCTTGGGGAGGGTTTTGTATCGACAAATTTTAAAAAAAATTTCTTACTCTGGGTCAGGGGGGGGGGTGGAGTAGAAGGCTGATAGATCAATATTCCTTGCTCTTGGGATAGATTTGAGACAGAACAGGTACTTAAAAAAGTTGCAGGATGCTTTGGAGAAATCCGATATTACGCTTGAGGTTCCGTTACTCCTGGGAATCTAGAGGAGCAGAACGTGTCATCGGTGATCTCGATGATGGCGGCATGCACTAGTTGTAATACTATGGGGGGTGTGCTTATTTGCTAACTGATAAATCTATTCTTGAAGTAGCCGCCGTGATTTTCTACAACTTGATTATCGAACCTGGGACAAAATCTTCTCAGGGATATCTTTCTTGTAAGTGGGGATTTGGCGTGGTGGGGCTTGAGAATGGACGCTGATAGGTCCAGTCTAACATGTTTTCCAAGAGAATCACCCCTTCGATAACATCGATTTTCGAATTTTACGAGAAAACTTGTAACTAATTAGATAAGGGTTTTTTTTTAAAAAATTCCATTTAGCCTAGGTTTAGAGACTGGTGTAAAATTATGGGCAATCTTTAGCAAAACAAATTCTCTATTATAAAGTAAATTATATATATTTTTTTTAATATATATATAAGGTCAATTAGGTAAAGCGAACCGGGCTGTTCAGGAAGAACCTATCCCCACCACTTCAAAACCCACATCCGTCTCCGATAAAAAAGTGCGGGTCAGAGAATTAGAGCGCGAAACTACTCAAGAAGACGAAGAGAACGAAGACGAGGTCAGGGATATGAGAGATAGATTGCACGCCCTTAGGAGTTGAAGAAAAAAAAACATATGATGGAATTTGAAAATATGTATATATATATATTATATTTATTTAATTTAGACGAAAGTTAGGCGCCATTTTTTTAAATATAAATTAAAATATATATTTACCTAGAACCATATTTTATAAAATATATACATTCTCATTCGAAAGAATTTTGACAAATAAATGTCTTCTTTTTTTTTGTTTATTTGTATAAAAGCGTAAAAATTTTTTTTTTTTTTTCCTCTGCAATGCTTTATTTTTTCCATGAGCGCGTTTAAATTTAAAAAATAGGAATTTAATCGGAAAATATATTCCCATCATGTTTGAAATCCTCATCTTAGAGTTGATAAAAGGCTCGTTTTGAGGCCGGTTTTTAAAAGCTCGTTTAGAGCCGGTTTTTAAAAACTCGTTTTGAGCCGGTTTTTAAAAACAAACTAATTCAATATTTTAGCCAGAAAGATATTGCCTAAGCCTTCGAGGTTTCGACAATATATGTCAAAACTTTTGTTCCTTCTATGAGCAAAGTCTTCAGGTTTGCGTAATATTTTTCTGGGGAAGAAATATGGAGTTCGCCATTTTTTAAAAATGGGCCCGAAACAACATTAACCTATCTTCATGAATTGTAGACAATTTTGCCGATAACCCTTTGAGTGATTTATAATTTATGTAAAAAAAAAATGTATGGAAAATTTATTATAAATTATCAGAGTTGTTAAAAGATACTTTTTAAATGGATCTAAATACAGATACAACGTCTAAAATAACATCTAGATACAGATTATTTAATCAAAAATCTATCTAGATATAGATACCACATTTTTATATCTAGATACAGGATCCTAGATCCTTTAACAACTCTGTAAATTATAATTAAGTTTAAAAGGTTCATGGGAAAAAATTGCCTGAAATTCGTAGAGTAGGGATTCCAAACATGGCGGCATTCATTTCCGGTAAAAATTAGATTTTTAGATTTAGAAAGAAAACGCGCTCAAATAGTGATTTAAATTGGAAAAAAAATAACACATTTACCGGAAATAACAAAACAGATAGATCTCGATATTCATTTTTTTTTTAATTTAAAAAATAAATTTTTTATAAATTAAATATATTAAGTGATGAACCGAACCCTCTTAAAACGCATATTTATTTATATATATTTTTTTTATATAAAAAAGAAAAAAAATTGTGATTATATGGATTAAAATGTAAATATTCTGTTTGTAGAAAATTCAATTATATAGTCTAATATTAAGTAAATAGGTTTGTATTTTTGCATAATAACTATATTTTTAATCATATTAAGCTATGCCTATAATCAAAAACTTTCACAAATTTTAAATAGTTTTTAGAATTATGTTTTGGACATGTTTCTTATTTTTCGATTTAAAATAACTTATTAATTTATTTTCATTAAAGTTTTCTAAAGTTTGTGAATCTAATTTTTTTATGTTTTTGGACACAGCCCGAGAGAAAAAAAGAAGTAGACGAAAAAAAAATATTAACTTTACCTTCTTTCTAATTACATACCAATTTTATTTTCTTATCGATTCATGGTTTATCGTAAGTAATTGCGACCATTTTAATTTTACCGCAACCTCGTCAAAATTTGCTTATAGAAGAAAAAACTGTTCCCGCCACTGATTGAACCAGAGCTTCGGTTGACGGTTGATTCGCGGACGTGTATTTGATATACATATATAAGATTATATAAAAAACAACCACACCTCTGAAGGACATTATACGCGAGACGGCAATAATAGAAGTCAGGCAGGTGACAATCATTTGTATCGAACCTTGGTTTAGCCTAGTTTACCAATAGAATTTATAAACTATTTCATTTAATTGTATTTCTTAAAATATATTACACATATCAAGATATCATGATGAATCATAATATCTATAACCTTAATCAATCAATCACTGAAAACGTATCTTATTAATTATTTATTTTAAAAAATCAGGGTCGCGATCTCAATACGTTTTTAAAAAAAATTAAAACTTTGCCTTTCGCGCTGAAAATGAACCGTACCTTTCCACTAGTATAATTTTATATCAATCTTTTCATTTTATACCATGATGTTTTAATGGTTCAGGCACATTTTAATTGTGGAAAGAAATCTTAGAGACCAATTTTGTAGGGAATAAATAATATATTTTCGTTGTACTTTTGCAAGTTTAATTTCAAGATAATTAACTAAAAACTGTTATTTTATATATATCATGCCATAATGAAATTTACGCTTACCCTGAACATCTAGAACCCAATTTATAGATATTTATTATATTAATAACTATCTATAAATCACATTCAAGATTTAAAGATCCACGGAGAATATGGGCTTGTCATTAGAATTCAAACAATTTCACCAAAAAAGTTTTAAGATACTTTATACGTACACATTTTAAATACTATTTAAATATGAATTTAAAATATAACTATTATATGTGATCTCATATCAGGGATATTACAAATTATTATTTGGTCGAAAAGGTGTTTAAATGCTTATCTCAGTTAAAGCAACTTTGAGAAGCATTCGTTCCTAGTTCTGAAAGCATATCTATTTTTTAGAAATTAACTTTTTAACTGTCATTAAATTAAAATATACTTTCTTAAAAAAAAAGATAATTAATTATTCAAATAATACAAAAGCATATCAAATAATAAACTATATTTTTTTAAAATTCCTTAGACACTAGATCACGTCTACCACCCCTCATATATTAAAAAATTTTGACCACCCACCTTCCCTTCCCCTCACGAAATTTTTTAGCTATTCCATTGATCTTAGCTGTAAATAGAATATACTTTCTAGATTAGCTAAATAGAAAAATACAAAAGTTTGCCAAAGATTAAAAATCAAAAGGTATTTCGTTCTAAGACATAAATAGCATATTGTGACTAAGATACATAAAAAAGTAACTTATAACTGAAGATACTAAAAAGTAACTTATAATTTAAGATACAAAGTAAAATGAAGCAAGTGATACTGCCTAATCTAACTAGGTCGTGAAAAAGTGAATTTAATGTTCAGTAACTTAAAAACAAGAAGAAAAAAAAGTTGACGATCGAAGTTTAGATCAATTGCTTTCCCTACCCACAATTTGTTAAAATATCCCGTTATGGTTGAAACTTTATGATATAAAAATTTTTTTTGTGAAGTCACATTTAGGACACACAATATTATAATAGGATTTTAATTAAGTTCCTATTTTTTGATAAATTATAAAGATTTCGTATATTCTGATTTTTATTTTCTACAGTTTATGCATGTGCTCCAGTTACTAACATAAAATATATAAATTAATAAATAATATATAGACTTATTTATAAAAATATGCATTATTTTATATTTTTTTTTCCTCTTGAAAGTTTATAAATATATATATATATTTAATTATTTTGTGAATTAATTTTTAAAACTTAATTTTTTTCTATTTTTTTTAGATTATTAATTATCCAAATGTAAATAATCAATTATTATGCGTTGATTGAAATCTGTCAATCCGAAAACTGAATAATATTGCATCTACCAATTGTATATTAGATATTGATTGTCATTTTTATTTTATCCATTCTCATTCCATGAAAGTTTCCGTGTATACGATTTTATCATTATTTATTTTTTTTTACTCCCTGCAATAGGAATGTTTGACGTCATTATCTGTAAAGCCATTTATTAGCGAATCTGGGGGAGTGACTAATCTCTCCAACAATTTATTGGCATCCAGTAATATGCCATTTAACGGAAAAGGGTTTGTCGATATATCGATTGTCGATTTCTTACAATTGGTATCCGAAAAATTCTTGTATTTAGCCTTCTTAAAAAACCCGTCGGTGGTTTCGTCCGAGGTGTCTCCACTTATAGGCGATATGTTGAGACCTTTGTTGTAGTAGGAGAAGGGACTTTCTTTAATTAAAAGAAATATAATTAATTGTAAATATTTGTCAGAACGCGCTGATTGGATAAAATTCTGAAAACGGTTACACAATGCCAAAAATATATTAACATTCCTAGTAATATTATGGCAAATATCTCCTTAGAATATAATTGAGCATATAATATGAAATCAAATATGTGTGTGATAGAAACCCGATTAATATCCGAAAACCATATGTTATCGGCATTGTATTTTTTTTCCGTAGCTCGTAAATTTGAAAAATATAATTTTACCGGAAATATATTCGATTCATGTTTGGAATATCTTATATGAATTTCACAAAATTACCCTTTTAACTTTTGAGTAACTTAATATTTCTTCCAAATAATATTACGCAAAGCCTCGAGATTATGATTGCGGAAGGAACAAAGGTTAGGACATCTATTAAGCGAAATCTCGAGGCGTAGGCAATATTTTTCCGGCTAAAATATTGAGTTGACCGTTTTTAAAAATCGACTCAAACCGATCCGTTTAAACAACACTATTTTTGAGTCATTCATAATTTATATAAAAAAAACTATGGGAAAACCCAATAATAAATTGTGATAAGTTCAAAAGTTCATGACAATATATTACAAAAAATTTACGAAGTAGGCAAATTTTTGAATTTAAAAAAAACGCTCTCAAAAAAAATGATTTAAAGTTGAAAATATAATACATTGCAGCTAACATATATATCAGTGGCGTGTCCAGGATTTTTTTATAGGGGGGGGGGGAAATTATTCATTATTTAATAATAATTATAATTCTATTTTTAACTATTATTTACTAATTCGTGCTTATGGATAGGATATTACAAGCCTATTTTTTATTATTTCAAGTTAGGTATATTATATTTAATAAAGGTTTTTTTAAATGTAAAGTTGAAATAAAGTGTAATGTCATTTTTTTTTTATAAAATTTGCTTTAAAAACTAGCCTCAACCTTAAATTTTCATACAATATAAGTAGAATGTAATTTTTTTATTGAAAATACTAATAGTAGTGTGTTATTGACTAGAAAATAATTAAATTAACAAGTTTTTTTAACTTCTTATCAAATACAAGATTTTTAATTATTTCGTTTGTCGTTGGAACCAAATCTCTGTGTATATTTACCCATTTAGCCGAGATTCAGTACTTCGTAAATATGTTTTCAACCTTCTCAAGTTGGAAAAAGTCCTTTCATTCGTACATGTTGTAATAGGCAAACATGCAAGAAAATAAAACAACTTCAAAATATTAGGAAATTGAGCCAAGGTTTCTTTACACCGATTGAGAGCATCAATAGCATGCTCAGGTAAAATAGCTAAACGTATAAATATTTATACCACAATTCGAATTCACTGATTAAATTTATTTCAGTATCAATCTCATAGGAATAAAATTTTTCTAAATATTTAATTTTACCAATGGCATTAGAAAATGAAGAAGGATCTTTGGGTAATAAAACTTGAAGATTGTTAAAGACTTGTTTTTTAGCTAAAAACCGTACTTTTATTTGCGATAAAAAAGTAGAAAATGGATATTTTATAATATTCTTCAGTTGAGCCAATATTTATTTTCATCTCAATAATGGCCTAGGTGCTAGACGAGGTTTAATTAGTGTTATATCATAAAATTTAGCTTTCGATTCAACGTCTAGATAAATATTATGAAAATATTTATCTACATTCATTCTTATTGTATCTACCTGTTCATGTATATTTTCCGCCAAATCAATAACCTGAACCAAATCTAAATTTGGATTTTGTAAATTTCTACAAAGTAGTGAGCTAAAAATAATTTATTGATGCAACTAGCAGCAATGATAAACTCTGATTGATCAATTGAATTCAATAATGATATCGCTGCTGACGACACATTACTTTTTTTCATGCTCAGCCTTATTTATATATTATCGTTTGATTTCAATCTCTTTGACCAAATATTTTTCCATTTTATTAATATTTTTGAATAATATTTTTGAAAATTGATATTCAAATATTTATAAATTTTTGATTGGTGGGAGGGGGGGGGGGTAAAATTTTTATTAGCTTAAAAGGATATTTATGAAAATAGTCAAATTTGCGATGGGGGGGGGAATTTCCCCCTTTCCCCCTATTGGTTACGTGCCTGATATATATAAATTATATATAGATAAGAAATATAATAATATTTGATAACTTTTTTTTTAAATTACCGTTATTATGACTAATAGGGATTGCCCTTTTATTTTTAAACGTATTTTCCTCGTTGTATAAGCAGCTGTCAAATTTCGATAATTTATTTTCGGTTCGTTCTTTTACGAGGGTTGGATAATGTGTCGGTAGTAGTCTTCTTTTAACGTCTGCCGACGAAATTTTACGTATCAACTTATCTTTCGGGTATAGGTGGTGCAAACCGGGCACCACGCTTACATTAGGATCATGGCATATTGATTGATTTTGATAATTTTCCCATCCCGAATGAAGAGTGGCATGCGAGATATACGGATGAGGGGAATAAAATTGGCTTTTGGGAAATGTATCTCTGCTGTCATTTTCACGAGGATGATGACATTTATTATTACGAGAAGTAGAAAAATTTTCGATATAATTGTATTGCTGCGAAAGATCGTTAGGTGGGCATGCTCCCGTATTTAAGCGATCATATAAACCTTTCGAAGAATTCCTGGAGATGTCGGTATTTATTGCTAAGCTGCGTTGGTTTTCAGCGATACGATTATCGGTGTCACTGTAAGAAGTTAGCAATGAGCTCTTTTCGGGAATACGAGTTTGGTTTAATTTAGAAGTTTCGATTCTTTTCTTTTTCGGAGTATCGTGAATATCTCTAACATTAGAAGATGCGCTTTTCGCCGAAGAAGACCTCAAGCTTTTTTGTTGTTCCGATAACGCTCGCATTTCTGACGTTGTCTTATGATTTACATTTATTTTGAGTGTATTAAGTGGGTCGTTACTACTTCTATATAAATCGCCCCTACCTCCGGAGGCGATAGCATTGTGTTCGGCCGACATCTTCGAAGGATTATTCAGAATATCCAGCCCTGGTGGATGTAAAGAGTAATTTTGCTTTCTAATTTCGTCCATCGATAAGTTTTCCGAATCGTGTTTACTTTTTGTTGGAAATATATTTGATTTTTTTTTTTTTTTTTTTTTTACAAAACATTAATAAACAATAAATAAATATCCATTTATAACAGTGCTCATTTGTCAAAAGGTTTAATTAATAAGTGGAAGACATTCATTTATAAAATGTCGTAAGCGTCAATGGGTTTTATTCCGGGGGGGGGGGGGGATGTGTTATTTTTACAACTTTGAATCATATAATGAGCCCGGTTTGTAATATCTAAAGATCGGATTTTACAGGAATGTATTCCATCATGTTTGGAATACCTTATCTTATGAATTGTAGACAATATAAATTTTAATTAAGTTCTAAAGTTTATGGCATAAATTGTCTGAAATTTATAAGGGTATTCCAAACATTATAGAGTACAGTGGCGTAGCTACGGGGGTGGTTTTTGGGTTTGGACCCCTCCCAGAGCAATTTTTTTTTAGATTATACGTTCAAAAGACTTAAAAGTGATTTTATATCAATTATATTACTATTGAAATTATTCTGGATAGTATTATTATAAAGTCATTGAGAATAATCTACTAAATTATAAATAACTTATTATTGATGCATTTAAAAAAATATATTTATTATATATTATCGAAGATATGGTTATGATTTGTAAGATAAACCCGGCCGAAGGCCCGTTTAAGGGGGTTTGGGGGCGAAGCCCCCGCTTTTATATGTATGGACCCCCTCTAAGAAAAATTCCTAGCTACGCCACTGATAGAGTATATTTCCGGAAATCATACTCTAAAAAACGATTTAAAGTTGAAAAAAAAAATAATACATTGCCTGGAAACATATTGACGCTAGCAAACGTATATTAAACTATAAGATAATTATTTTCTTTAAAATTTATTATTACTACCCAAAATAAAGCTTTCAAAATATATACCACGTATACATTCGTAATATTTATATATATATACCTCAAGACATAATTCACGTTAACTATGCAATGCGGCCTGGATGATCTGTTGTTGTGAACGATGGTGCAATGACTTTGAATCCACACCCATCCGTTATTCACAGTCATGAATCTGTAATAAGGCGTTCTAACTTGTCCTTTCTTAAGTACTTTAATCATTGTATAAAAAATATTATTTACTGTATACTCAATATTTCATCGGCTCCTAGAATAGGAATGCTCTTCACTTTGCTCAAATGTTTAAAAAAATGAGAAAATCAACATTTAAAGTTTTAAAATCAAATAATAGGAAAACCTTATTTTGATCAATTATGTGAGAGCTATAATTTTGGCAAATAATTTTTTATCCAGTTCTAAATCAACCCGGTCCGGCCCGGGTATATTCAAAAAATTAAAATCCGGCCCGGCCCATGTTTAAAAATTACGAATGGAGCATTTCTATTCTAGACCGACAATTTATGCTCCTTAAATTCATTAAGGGAATAGTTTTAAATCTTTTTTTTTTAAAATTATTATAATCACTTATTTACGACATTTTTTTTTGTTTAATAAATCCATTGAACAATGTAAGTATAATTTATAATAATTATTATATATATATGACTATAGACAAATTACACTCAACTTATATTATAACCCCTCTTAATGATTATCACATAATTATAATGTTTTATTTTCTAAAATTACATGTAAGGTGAGACTTTTGCAAAGCTTTCAAGTCAGAGGTGTGCACAAATTGATACAGACTTTTTTCTACCAAATCCTGAGGTTCGTACCCAATCAAGGATGTGACCCTTATATATGTGTTTAATATATAATTTATTATAGGTTTCATTTAATATATTTTTCCAAATATTGGTTTTTTTGAATAAATTAATCCTTTTAAATTAAAAAAAAAGAAATTAAATTCGGACATTGGGAGATTCCAATGATTTCTCCAAAGGATCGCTTTTTGGAAATTCGTTACTTTCTGACTAAAAAAAATACATTTTAATAAAATACCACTTTTCGGTAAATTATGATTTTATTAGAATTAGTTGAGTGATTTCAAAGATTTTTGTAAATAACTAAAATAAGAGGTAGCGTTGTTTAAAAATGGCTAACTCAATATTTTATCCAAAAAAAAATATGATGTAAGTTTAAAGATTTCTCGATGGCACATAGGATTGAACATCTGTTGGGCGAAATCTTGACGCTTAGTGTTATATTTTCCTGACTAATAATAGTGAGTTGGCCACTTTTAAAAACCGGTTCAAATCGAGCCGTCCAACAACACTAATAAGAGGAATATAAATATTAATTCGCAGAAACATATGATGATATTTTAGGGCTAAACTGCAATGATTAGTCTAGTCAACTTATCAGTGGCGTAGCTACGGGGGTGGTTTTCGGGTTTGGACTCCTCCCAAAGAAAATTTTTTTTTTAGATTATACGTTCAAAAGACTTAAAAGTGATTTTATATCAATTATATTACTATTGAAATTATTCTGGATAGTATTATTATAAAGTCATTGAGAATAATCTACTAAATTATAAATAACTTATTATTGATGCATTTAAAAAATATATTTATTATATATTATTGAAGATATGGTTATGATTTGTAAGATAAACCCGGCTGAAGGCCGGGCAAAAGGGCCCAGCTTTTATATGTATGGACCCCTCTAAAGAAAATTTCTAGCTACGCCACTGCAACTTATTAAGCATTCAATATGTTGCCGAATTTGATTTTTTTTTTGCTTAAAAAGATATAATTTTAATAAAAAAAAACGAAAAAAACTAGAAATGAAATTGCCCCCCCCCCCCGAATACTTAAAGCGAACCAGAATAGGGTGTGTCCTAGTTCACGAGTTGTTTAGTTCAAGGCCAAACAGCTGTTCGAAATGGGAGACAGCCTCACGGCTGTAACAAGCTAATAAAAGAGATTAACTTCGAATCCAAGAATATGAGCTTGAGATCTAAGCTTGTTCTCATCATAAACATGTCACTCTGTAACTTGATTTCAGTGACAGCGCTGGCGGGAAAGGAATAGGCAACCGCTAATAAACCTATTACCCTGGAGGAAACTTCATTTTCTACTATAGCGGTATGTTTTGGGGGTTTAGCAGGACATTTAACTTTCAGATACCCTGTGCAATGGATGACCTAATGATGCGTTATATAAAATAAAAAAATTCAAATTTAAAAAAATGGATGCCATGAATAATTGTGTTATATCAATGTTTCTATGAGGAAAGCTAACCAGGGCTCTCTAGGACCCACTCTCCCTTAATCCAGTGAGAATGAATTCCCCCGATGACTATAATTATTCCAAAAAAAAGGAATATTGACTATCTGTACCTAAGAATGTATACCATCCTCCCCAAGTTAACCCCCCCCCCCCCTCACCCTACAATTTTAATAACCGAATTGCTTCTTAATCACTCCCCTCTTCCCCCGTGTTAAAGGACTCTATAGGTAACCTTAGAAATCTATATTTTACATTTCCTTAAGTTTCAATTTATTTATTTTTTTACTAACTTTGTATCCATTGCTAGTCAATCCAGCATTTCTTTTCGCTAACACGCATTTCATACGTATACAAAAATCTTTTACCAACGAATAATCTTGTATGTTTTAAAACCAAAAAAAAATAAAATTAAAAAATAAATATAATATATTTTTAAAAAAAAAAACAATCCGAGCCGGGCCTGAAATCATAAAACCCGGGCCGGTGCCGAAATTTTTTTTAAAAAAAAGTATCCGCACCCGGTCCTTGCAAATAGTACCTCTTCAAATCTCCGATATATATATTGTTTATATAATTAATTATAATTATAATTATAATGTATTTATAATCATCTTTAGTGTTTTTTTAAAAAAAAAAATCAATTTATTATATCAATACCTTTATTTGTATCAGATATTTTATCGAGTTCCGGGGTTAGTATGTTAGTTATTTCTTCGTGATCTTCAGTGTGAATATAATCGTATACACTATTGCCCGTTAATTCCACCTGTAAATAAAAGATAGACGTATATAAGGATAATTGCTAACAAAAAATGAATCAGAATTTTTTTTTCAAATAAGTGGGAAAGTGGATTTAAAAGAATTTTTTAAAAAAATAAGGTTTTTTAGATGCTACGGACACTTTTTACACCTTGAACAATATCCTTTTTTTTTTGACTTGATAAGCATAGAATTAGTATTGATTTATAGCTTAGAAAATGGGGAATCTAATCCCTAAAATCTCAGAAAATATAGTTCTTAAATTAAATATCTATAATCCGCTCTCAAAATGTTTTAATATAAAAAAAATATATATATATGTAAATGGGGAATAAATAAATGATAATTAACCTGAGATAACCCTAAATGGACGGATGCAGTTTCGGAGATGTACACAATTTTCCCGTCGGGAGATATGATGAATAAGAATCCTTCTAAAGTCTAAAGAAAAAATATGAGCATTTATACATTATTTAAATCATAATTATTAGTAAAAAGTAAAAAAAAAATGCTAAAAATCAAAGAGTTTTTTTTTATATTAGGCGAGTTGTCAGGGGCTCTAAGGAATGGCAAAGAAAACAAAATTAGATGAGTGGGAAGATGGTAATCTTTATTCAAACAGAGATCCTTACCATTTTTTTCCATACATTCCCCGAGATAATTTAGTTAAAATAATGTATATATATATTTTTTAAACTTGAAGTAGATGAGAACCAATGTCCTTTGCCAGAAGCTCAGCTGGGGTATATTTTACATTGGGCAGTTTCCCCCAATCATCACCTTCATCTATAAAAAAAAAATTATTAACATATTTCTATATATTAGAAATGTAATTATATCTTTTTCCAGAATAATGTATGAGATGTCCTTGTTGTAAAAAATTTTACTTTTTTTTGAAGGGGATGAAATAGGGGGGGGGGGGGGGATGTGTTAGTGTATCAGCCCTTGATAAATTTTTTTACGAACTCTAGAAAAATTTATAAAAATTATATAGCTGTAGGGAAGAAAAAAGGTTAAATATTTTAGTATTAAAGTGCGGAGTGCCAAACTTCCCTGTATGTATCATATTATTTCCTCTCCATGTATTTAAATAATTCTTAGCTTAAAATTTCCAGGTTTAGTCATATCCCACACCCTAATATCTTGCGTTAGAACAGGTTTTCAGATAATTTCTAACCCTTCTAAAAATTAGAATCCCCTAACCATCCGAACGTCAATTTAGCAATAAAAAAAATATCCTTTAAATAAAAGGCAGCGTTTTTTTATTCTAATGCTCAACCAAAATTGTTAGATAAAAAAAAAATACTAAACAACTTTGTAATTTAATACCGATATCACATATTTTTTCACTTGAGCAAATTTTAGTCATTTTGTATATCTGATAAAAATTGAAAGATGAAAAAAAAGATATTAACTGAACAAAAAAAAAATAGCTGGTTATGATTATTCGCCCATTAGAGAGGTTATATTTTTATTTTAGTGTATAAAATGATTTTTTAAAAAAAAAGCCTAACTCAATATTTTACCCAGAAAAAAATAATGCTTAAGCCTCGAAATTTCGAGAATATTATGTGCAGACCTTTGTTCCTTCTCTGAGCAAAATCTTCAGGCCGCTTGGATAATATAATTTCTGGATGAAGTTATTTGATTGAGCAGTTTTTTAAAAATCGGCTCAAAACGAGCTTGTTTAACAACACTAATTAGAACTCTAACATAAATTTTTTGATTGGTTTATAATGAACAAGAATAAATAATGTAGAATGGTAGAATAAATTGTGTGCGATTGTATTGAATAATTAAAGAGGAATGAAGATTTTATTATCGACTAAAATCAAAAAAAAAACAAAAGGTGGAAATAATCATCATCATCTATATATACAAAATTAACATCAATTTAATATTAAATAAAAATCAATGTATATAACGTTTCAAAACATCAATAATATCGAATAAATATAGTATAGTATAACGTTTCTAGCCTTAAGTCTTCTACGATAAAAAAATCCATTAATAAAATTGTTGCTTATATTTAACAGTTTATAATTAAAAATTAAGTAAAAATTAAATGAAATTTTATATTTTTTTCTTTCAAAATAATCCAGAAAAGTGATTATATATTTTTTTTTATATTAACACTTACATGATATCAATAATAATGATTTGTTGCAAAACACTTCCATATATTTGTAAATAATTTTCTTTAAAAAAATTGTTTAAATTTCCTAGTGTTTGTTAAAAGGCGCATTTTGAGCCGATCTTTAAAAACGGACGGCTAATAGGAAAAATATTTATGCAAGCCATAAGATTTTGCTCATAGGATGGTAAAAAGGTTTGGACATTTATTAGTGAAATCTTGAGACTTAGGCAATATTTTTCTTGCCTAAATATTGATTTAGCCGTTTTTAAAAATCAGCTCAAAACGTGCCATTTAGCAACACTACTTGCTATATTTTATTGTTTTAAAAAAATGTTATCAATAATAGTTAATTTTTACGAATAATTATTAGGCAAGTCAAACAATTCAATTTTTAAGGTTCACATTACTATTAGGATATACCTCCCACCTTTTAAGTGTTAGGGATATTCTTAATTCTTCTAAGAGTGGAGACAGCTGACAAATCATTCACTCACACTGTACGTTATAAATAAAAAACAATTTTTTCACAATTGTTGAATACGATGTTCAATTTTGAGAAATAAAATTATAATATTTTTAAAAAAAAACTCTTACAACAAGGCACCTTATATATTTTGTTTTTTTTATTTTGTAGAATTTCCATACATTTATTAAATTACAGTTTATTAGGATGTTTTATATCATGATGATTGACATTACATATTTTCTAGCGAATGCGAACGATAAAGTCATATGTAGTATAATTTAGTTATAACTTACAATTAAAAAAAAAAAAACTTAAAATTTTTCTATATTCGAACCAAGCGACGGTCAAATTCGGGTCGTGATATTCGGGACAAATGATAAAAAAAAAATTCTTTAGAGATAGCGCGGCCAGAAACATTTTGGGCTTGAAAAATTAATCTCGATCAATGACATATAACGATACCTAGATTGACGATGTATTCATGATATTGCACTTGAAAGCGTCGTTGAATGAATCAGCTGGACACGCCATTTTGGTAACCCATATGGTAACTATTTCTCATGTTAAAAACTGCTATTGAATCGATAACTTACATCCCTTAATTATCTCGATGATCGGGCAATTCTTTAATAAAATTTTTGCGTTTTCAGACATAGAAATAAATTGGCCTCTCCGTTTAAAATATTTAATAATGGGGTAATCAAAATGGCGTCTCCAGCTGTTTTAATTGATGTACACCTTTAATGGATGCATCGTCAGTCTAGGTATTCTATATTTAAGTCTTCATTTATAATTTAGACCATATACAAAAAAAAGAGAAAAGTCAACTTGTAAGAAGCCTAAGGAACCATCTAGAATTCCTTCTATATAGTCTACTAGGGTTGTTAAAGGGATCTATTTAGCCATAATAGTATTAGACTCGAGATTTTGTTTCTCTGACCATCTACGAGCAAAATTTCAGGCTTGGGTAATATTTTTTTGGGGGGCTAAAACATAGGGTTAACTGTTTTTTAAAAAATCAAAGTCGTTAAAACTACATTATATTAAACGCACTTTCAATGTTATAAGATAGGAAACCGACATATTATTATTTATAATTTAATAAATTTTTCTGAATGGTATGGGAAGAATGAAATTAATACCATTCTTAATATTTCCATTTTAAAAAAAAACCTATTTGATTTTATAAGTAGCTTAAATAGTTCCTCATTCAAAACCTAATTTTTTTTTTTTTAAATTAATTTTTAAATATACTTGCTATTTTCCTTTTAACAATTTTTGTTTGTAAACTATTTTTAAAGTTTTTCTTTTTGCCAAAATTTTTGTTTTTTTTTATCTAAAGAATATTTCCAAAGGTGTTTTTTTTTGTTTTAATAAAAAAAAACGGCAAAAATAAAAAACAAACCCAGCTTACATTCATTTTTTCGCCTTGAAAAAAAAAGATTTGTTCGGGAAATGGCTTAAACGCTGGTAATAACCAGCTCTTATTTTCCACCTTAAAATATGACAAAAATAAGAATTAAGCTGATTATATCAGTTTTATATTCTCCGTTTGTTGGACAAAATAATTTAATTTATGATAAAATTCATATATTCAAATGACATATAATAATACCTAGACTGTGCATCACTGGAAACAGCTGGGGACGCCATTTTTATTACTCCATATGATTATTAAAAATTTTAAACGAGAGGCCAATTTATTCCCATGTCTGAAAACGCAAAAACTTTATTAAAGAATTGCCCTGATCATGGAGATGATTAAGGAAGCAAGTTATCAATTTTATAGTAGTTTTTTAACGCCAGAATAATTACTATATGGGTTACCAAAAATGGCGGATCCAGCTGGTTTGCATTAAACGACGCTTCCAAATGCATTATTATGAATGCATCGTCCAGTCTAGTTATTATTATATGTCATTGATTATATTATAAGATATATTCTTTTTATTTATTTTTTTTAAACCAAAAACAAAATAATTTATTTTGAAGGAAACACCGTAATCTTATCTATATAATAATAATTGATAATTATCCAAATTATACATTAGTAATATATATTATATAAACATGAATTATTCATATGCGTTATTCGTAACAATATATATTAATATATAAATCCCTTTTTTTTTAATAGCGTAATTTCTAAATAGGCAAATATTAAAGATTCGTTAAAATAATCTTCCTTATAAAATCAATTTACAAAGAAAAATCTAATGTCTAAGTTATATTCCTGATATTTATTACTACCATGGAGACTGGTTCCTAAGAATGTTTCTGGTCTCCGGATCTAATATTTTCTGACTAAGATAGAATTCGTAGTTGGGATATGTAAAAAAACTAATTTCTACGTTATAATCCTGATATTTATTACTACGATGGAGACTGGCTCCTAAGAAGGTGTCTGGTCTCTGGATCTAATATTCTCTGACGAAGATAGAACTCATAGTGGGATATCTGGTATATATCCATGGTTTTTTTAAATTTTGATAATCAAATTTAATTTCTTCATCATCGTACCAAAAACTTAAAAGGGTATATTGATTGATGACTTATAGGCATGAAGATAATATTTTAAGCCGACATATTATATTTATTTTTAAACCTCGGGGTTTTCTATGGCAGATGAGTATAAATATGGACTGATCTGCGAAATCAATGAACGCATAGTTCCCATGACATTGTAAAGCCATTTGACAAGGGGAATGAGGGTTATGCCATTATTAGTCTCAGAATCACACTTATGATTCTCATTGGATAGAGATTTGATTGTTTATTATATTTTCCAGTGTATACTAAGAGTATATTGTTTGTAATATTTATGGTAAGGATTGTGTCATTCGCGCAAGAACATGAATATAAGGAGTTAGGTGGGGATTGAGACTTGACTTAATCTCCATAATTCAACCATAGGTATATATTACGAGGATATAATAAACCTAGGCCGAGGGAATTGTATAAATGAACTGGGGACTTCCGCTCATTCCTAGCCAGAATAAACATATAAAACTGTTTAAAATTTTTTATTTGTATATAATCACAATCTTAATGAACAGTGTTCTTTTATATAAATTGCCGCGTATATTTTATTTCAGAAATATTTTTATCTCTAGATATTTTGATTTAGCAGCCCTAGAATATCTGCCGCCTTGAAATTAAATATATATTGAAGAAGAAAAACAA